AGAAAATACTCACAAACGTGTAGAAAATCATATCAATAACATATCAAAAGTTGTGCGGTGAAAGTTTCGTCAATAAAATACGGCGCGTTTTTTCGGTAACAACACAAATCTGTGCACAAACGATCAAAAACTCAACATCTTCCGAAAACAGAAATAGGATTCGGAGTCCTTACCACGAGATAAACACTTTTCCCAACAGCGGCGTCGGACGAAAAGCGCTCCGCGGCCTCCGGAAACCAGCTTTTCAATTCCTTTGCTTTCCTTCTCTTTCTCTCTCCTCAGATATTTTGTTTTATAAAAAAATGATTTTCTCTCTCATCAAATCGAGCTGATTTCCTTTTAAAACAAGTCTGATCGGCCCGGCCGATCGCCACATCGTCCAGGACGATGTGAACAAAATTCAATCGTCCAGGACGATATCTCAGAACGATAATTAATTTCTTGGACGATTTGCTCTCTGACTTGTGCCATGCTCTGATCGTCCCAGGACGATCCAAAATCGGCCTGGACGATCCACTCCAGAAAATCAGCTGTATTCACTGCACTGATCGTTCTGGACGATCTCAATATCGTCCCGGACGATCCTGGGAGGAAAATCAGATCCAGAAAGGAAAAATCAAAGGAACGAGCTCTCACATTTACTATTGATCTTTCTCCTATTTACTGGTCATGTCATTTTTAGAAAACTATAAATAGACCTCTCATTTCCCATAGAGGAGGGGATAATGAGGAAGGAAGTAAAGAAGAGAAAGAAGGCAATAAAGAGTTCTCTTGCCACTAGACTCTTCCTCGACCACCTACCGGCCACTGACCGATACAGGACTTCGGCCTGTCGCTGGATTTCTACCCAACGTTGGACTTCCACTCATCTTCGGACTTTTGCCTGGCCTGTCGCTGGACTTTTGTCGGACATCTTCTCGACGTCAAACTTTTATCCATTATTGAACTTCCTCCCATCGCCAGATTTCTACCCGACACTAGACTTCTGTCCATTATCGGACTTTTATCGAACTTCTACTCATCACTGGATTTCTACCTGACGCCGGACTTCCGTTAGTTGTCGAACTTCTGCCTGTCGCCATACTTTCATTGTCAGACTTCTGACCTCCGTTGCTAGCCGATTACGGTACTTTCGACCTCCGTTGTCGACTACAGTCTTTCCAACATCCATCATCATACATCGGTCTTTCTGACATTCGTCGCCCGTCGACTATTATCCTTTCGAAAACCGACACCCAACTACTGTCATTCCGACCTCCATCGTCCACCGACTATGGTCCTTTTGACCAAACGAACATGTCAATAGTGATTATTCCTATTCCCATCATATAGTGCACTACATTTAATGTATTTTTGTTACATCAAGCTAAGGCCTTCCCCCCAAGGAAGGGCATCATTTGTAATCAACTACAAGTACTAGTGGATTCATTCAAATTGGGCCAGGCCCCATGATTTTTCCTCTATTTAGGGTTTTTCCATATAAACAACTTGATGTCTCTTATGAATACTGCACACTCTCTTATTTGATTGTGTGCGATCTTCATACAATGCAAATATGTTAAAATTTATATTTTTCTCTACCGCCGCGAATATTCTAGGGCGCAACACTACTCTTTTTTTCAATAAAACATCAATTGATTATCTTAGAAATAATATTAATATTTTAAATAGACATTTATAACTGTAATATCCAAATTATAGAGAGATATAAATTAAATACTTTTTAGGAATTTTATTTATACAAATAAAAACTTGTGATATATAAAAATATCTCAAAAGTTGTACGTGTTATGTGACCCTTTATATTTCCCCTTAAATCCACCCTAAAATTACATATCATATTTTTATGATATTTTTTTTTTAAATATCCTTTTCGTATTTATTATTATAATTATTACTCACAATTTATATTTAGTATATTATTTTAATATCTTTGTAAGCTACTCATAAACTTATTATATGTCTAACATGGAATTTTATTTTAAATGTTAAAATAATATATTCTCTCTATTAGTGCATGAATAACAATTCTAAATGTTTTTGTAATTGAAATTTGTGCCAAATTTGATATAACTTCTACAACCATATTACAATAATAATTTTTTCTTAAATTTTTTACTTTATGCTTTATTGGGTACAACAAAAGATGTAAGTTAGCTGAGCTAGCTCACAAGTCATCTTAAATTTGGCTCTTTAATTAGCTCATGAGCTAAATTTATCAAGCCACCAGTCCAAGATGCTTGAAACTATATTTAAGTTCAGCTTGACTTGGGTCGTAAGCTTATCGATCAGACCGCTTGTTAAAATTAAAATGTATTTCAAAATAAAATTTAGAATAATATAATAAAATAAATAATAAACATTTGTAATTGTTTTTTGAGTTATGCTCAAGTTTTTCATATGAGCTTACATAATCAAACTGGGCAAAGCCTAATAATTTTCGAATAAGCCGAGTTTGAGCTCAATAAATAAACTAGAGCAATGATCGAGGTCAAAGCTCAGTAAGTGATATAAGGAATTGTTGATATACAAGCAGCCAGCTCAACTGCACTCCCACTACTCCACCTTCTTGTACTTGGTACATTTTATCGGGCAATATTGGGGTTAATTTGGTGAGCGGATTGTAGTTTTGAAGGATTGATAAAAGAGATGTAGACCATTTAGAATGTAAAGGATTGTGTTATTGATGTCTATGTGAGATTCAACTGTTGAATTATTATACATGAGTGTTTTGATTCTTGAGAGGTATTGGACATAGAAAGATCTTTCATTGTGATGTTGTGAAGTTCATTTTTAAGCTGGATTACTCTACAGCGGTTGGTGGGTTGGAGACATTTTTCTAGGGTAGGCCAAATTTCATGGTAGGTTCGTAGGTTGAGAATGCGTGGTAGAATAGATGGGGGAAATGGTAGAGTAGATGGTTGCAGCAAGGTTTTGGTCAAGGAAAATCCAACTGTTGTGATCTAGGTTATATAGAATCTCATTTGTAGAGGATGTGATATATTTTGGAGGACAATTGTTGGTTATGATTAGAAAGCCATGGAAATCATTGGTTGAGAAGATCATAAGGATTTGAAGGCGTCATATGGGATAGTTGCAATTATTCAGTTGGACATGAATAACATTTTTGATATTGGAGAGGAGGAACTTGAGTGACTAGCGTATAGATATATATTTCATTGAGAGTGTAGAGATAAGAGGGATGGTTGTTGAGGCAGAGAGAGACTCACCCATCTGATCTAAGGTGTTGATGTTGGTACTATTACACTTGCATCTATGATACCATGAAGGAATATTAGGTACTGATTTTACTTATAGAGAAGATTTGATAGACATAATAGAAAATGAAAAATATTTTGTTGAATACAATGTATGCATATTATTTTAAAATAATGGAGATTACTTGTTTATAGAGCATTTAATAACATAACAAAGGGAGACGTTATGTGCTTAGTAAGTGGTGTGATGTAGTAATAATTAAAGCTATACTAAGTGAAGGGAGGAGGAGTAGTGAGAATACAATTGAGCTGGATGCTTGCATATCAAAGATTTCTTATATATGAGTAGTTTATCATATATCTAATGTCCAACCTCCACCTTTTCATATACTTTCCCCTCCCATTCAACCTCTTCTTTTTCAATCCTCCACCATAACCACACCTCTTAAATCTCCACCACTTCCAGATTTTGATTCTCCACAAACGTCCAACACTCCAATCCCCTCCACCAGCCTCTCTACTTCAAATTCAACATTCTCTTCTCCACCACTTCCTCCAAATGCCTCACTACATCCAATGCAAACCCATTTTCAAAGCATGCTCTCTCAAACCCAAAGACATAATTAATCTATCTGCTCTTTTGAAATCCACCTTCACTCTGCCATGTTGCTCCCAAGCCCAACAATCATCTGAATGGCACCATTCTATGTCACGAGAATTGGAAGCCCTTCAACTCCAAGGAACATGGTCCTTTGTTCCACCACGTTCCAACCAACCCGTCCTTGGCTTTCGTTGGATATTCAAAACCAAACTCAAACTCAATGGCTCTCTTGATCACCACAAAGCATATCTCGTGGATCAAAGTTTCAATTAAGAGTATGTAATAAGCTTCTCCGACATATTTAGTCTGGTAGCAAAAATGCAAATCATTCATATTATTCTCACCATTGCTCTATATCACAAATGGTCAGTTTGTCAATTAGACATGCCTAATGCATTTCTCAATGGCAACCTCACCGACATCATTTACATGAAACAACCTCCGGCTTCACTGACTCCTAACATCCAACATATGTATATAAAATCTGCAAAGCCATCTACAACCTCAAATAAGCTCCTCGTTAGTGGTTTCAAATCTTATCCAACTTTTTATTAAACCATAGCTTCCATCTCAACCACTCAGATCCCTCCCTCATCACCAAACATATTACCACCACCTCAATCTTTCTCCTCTATGATGATGACATTCTCATAACCGGTAATCACCAACAAACATACAAATGAATATTTCTTTAGTAGAAACTAAACTAGCTTAGTTCAATTAGACATATACTCGATTATATTTGACTCATTTACACCCTTAGGTACAACTAAGATAGCAATATAATTCTATTATGTTATATAAAACTGGGAGCTACCGTCTATATATTTCTATAGTATTTAACATAATGTAATAATATAGAAATGAATATTTAAGTTATTTTTACATAAATTAAAAATTTCTAAAATACAAATCAAATTGTATCATAAAGATTGTTTTCATTTAATAGGTTGGTATCAAACCAATAAATATGATAAAAGAATATTCTTATTTTATGTACTAAGAAATAATATAATTAAAATTTTATTTGGAAGAAAATTATAATTATTTTTTAATATAAATTTTAAATTTTTTGTACTAAAATTTATTTTAAAAAATAATAAAAAAATTGTCCACTTTAACCCTAAATGGAATCGCACCGACACGATTATTTCTGAAGACATATCATCCAGTCCCGTCGATCCATATCTAACCCGTCATCTAACCTAGAACTGAAGTCTGATGCTGGTTGGCGTTTCGCGGGAGAGGTATTTGCATCTCCGTCTATACCTGTAGGCCTGAGAATGGCGCAATTAGAAGACGCTCTGAGAATCCGCCATTTCCGTCGTCTCCCCTCCTCCGAAGAATTCTCTGCCGAGATCGAACCCTCTAACGTACCTGCCGTACGTGAAACTGGGGATTCCAACATCCCTTTCATCGCCCTTCTTCGCACATCTAGATCGATTTGTATATTTCCCTAGTGTGCTTCACCTGCATCCTTGTGCTAACTTTCGCTTTTTTTCTTCTATTTCTTCTCGTTCATGGTAGGTGTTCTATGGCGCTATCAAAGGATGGGAAGCGATCAGCAAGTGGAACCCTTCCAAGGGGGGCCTCGATTATTTGCAGGTTTATTCCTTGTCGCACCATTTTGATTTGCATTTTTTTTAATACTTTTTGGGTGATTTTTGTTTGATGATGATATATTTTATGCCTGTTCAGTTTTGTGGGATAGACTTCCAGTGTTTGGTATGAATTATCAGTTTTTAACTGGTGTCAAACCTTATTTTAATTTGGTTACATGACACATGATTAGAAGTTAGAATTAGGTACATTACAATTATCTTCCCACAAATCAAGCTAAGTTTAACTAAATGCTCCCTCGAGATGGAGCTCCAATATAAGAGGATAATCTTGATGCTTAAATAGACAAGTGAGTGCCTTTGGCAAAACATGAGCCACATAAAGGGAACCTTTTTGTACTTGGCCCGTTGGCCGTGGTTAAAATAAATCAAATTCCACATGTATCATTCACGAGTGATATATTGGTTTTGTACAGAGTTGAGTGATACTCACATTGTCATAATAGATCATCGGTGATTGAAGAAGGTGAATGCCAAGTTTGATGAGAAGAGAACATACCTAACGAAACTTAATAGCAATCCTGACAACCAAACAATATTTACCAGGCTATGGTAATTTGTTTCTTGACGCTCCAAGATATTGAGTTTCAACCAATATAAATGATTTAGGAACTTATAAAGGTGAAGTAATCCTTATTACTTGCCCAATCTCAATCGACGTCAAAGAATGAATTAGCTTGAGTGGTGAGTGACGATGAAGAATATTCTAGTGCCATATAGAAAGCATAATAGTCATAGGTGTTTTCTGATGATCAATAGAGGGGAAATGCATACAATGAGATAGTTTATTGACTGGTAAGGTGATGCTTGAGCGCTTAAGAGCTAGGTGCTTTAGATTTCCCATTACAGTTTTGTAATTGTCAAATTTGTGAGCATAGCATCGCAATGAAGAGTAGGCGTTGGTGTCATATCAAGAGGTTTAGTCATAAGGGTGGCATTTGTCATTTTAGTGTAAGAAAATTAATGATGTATCAACATTGAGATAAGAGAAGTTCATTCAAGTGTGAAACAACATACACATTGTGAAAAAAGCGGGGCAGATCATGATTCTTAATGGAGAATTGTTTCTTTGGTGGGCATAAATCTTGGTTGGTTCAATGGTGTATAAGCTATACGTGGTGGCATTATAAAGGGAGATGTTGTGGATGATGTGCATGGAGTCTTGGGGAAGGACAAGTGACATGGGAAAGATAGGAGGACACAATGAAGATATTTTTTCTTTGGAGGTGTCATGAGATTGGGAGAGAGATGCATAAGGAAAAATAGACTCAACAAATTGAACATGTTTGGAGACATTTTGGTGTAGTGATATTGAGACAAAGGTACTTTGAGTGAGAGAGTAGCCAAGCAAGGCAAATAATTTGAAGCTAGTGTCAAGTTTGTGTGTGGCGTATGAGTGAAACCATCGGTAGTAGTGATAACCAAAAATACAAAGTTTGGAATAGTTGGGAGGAATGCTAAAGGGGTGTTCATTTGGAGAAGAAAAGTGGATTGTGGGGGCGAGTAGACCTGTAGATGATTTATGAGGTAAATTGTTGTTGCAAATGCATTGGTGCAATGGGCAGTTGAACGGACAAATGAGACAAGAGAAACCAATTCAAAAATATAATGATGAGATTTTTTAGTGAGATGAGAAATGCTATAGGTGGAGACTGGAGATCAATGTGGCAAGAGCTTAACATGCATAACCATTTTGTTAGTATAAGGTATGATTTTGCAATTACAGTTTTTTTTCCTTCATGACTTTAAAGCTAATGAAGACATTTTTTTTTATTGAAGTGGATATATCTAGATGTATTTGTATGATCTATAAATATGATACAATATTTGAGGCAATCATATGATTGCATGAGTGGGGTCCACAGATTTGAGAAAAAAATTTAGAGAGGCTGTGAAAATACAATTGTGGAGTTTGATAATAAGGGTTTATGAATTTTATTCAAGGGTTGATAAGAAGAATAGTTTCATAGTTGAACAATTTTTCATGAAGCTCATCAAAAATGATCTGAGTTTGATGAGAGTTAACTTGGTCAATCATATACTTGTAATTATCACCAACACCGCCAAGAATGATACCAATGATGTCTTCTTCATCCATGGGCTTGTTGAAATTAGCAATTTGATCAACATGAGTTTGGACATGGTGCATAATTTTAGTGATGGTTTGAGATCCTTTAATAAGATTCTTGATTTAATCATTATTTTGTTTGATGTGTCCTAGGTGGGTTTGGCATAGGCATTGGTTAGGATATTGTAGACTTCATGAGATGTGGTGGACCAGGGAGAAGAGGGATGAGGAGAGTGGAGAGAAATTCTACAAGAGTGCTAAAGATGAGTTTGTCTTAACGAATTCATATGTTGCAATATAGATTGTGAGATGTTGTGCCATTTGTGGTGATGTTGGTGGGTGGGTAAGGGTGGGATATATCTAGATATGCTTCGAGGTCATATCCAATAATTATGGCATGAAATTGAAGCTTCCATGATAGTTAATTTGTGCAGGTATATTTGATGCGATTTTTATAGGAGAGGTTAATAGCAATTAATGGATAATGGGGTTAATAGGTATTGAGTATGGTGGGTTAGGATGTGGATGTTTTTTGAGGTTGAGTGGGTGGCCATGTGGTGACAAAGGGAGGATGAGGAGAGGTTGGGAGGTTTTGTGGTAGAAAAGGGATGTGACTTGGGGTGCCGAGCTTGGAGGAGCAGAGGATCGTTGGCTAGATGATGTTGGGAGTGGAGTGTTTATGGTGTGGTTAACTGAGTGTTGGGCTGCTAGAGAATTGATGGGGATTAGCAGGAAGAGCATAACATCTATGATACGACTTGAACACCAAACATCAGTGAACTAACAATAAATTTTAGCAAACTAACATATTTTTTATTAATAGGAAAAGAAATATGAACAAGCAAGATACAATGGTCTTTTTTCGAGAGGAGGACATTCTTTCTCAAATTCTAGACGCCACCAGAATCCCTCATAAAAATAGTGGACAATAAACACACAAAACTCATTAATAACATGCCATAAAATCCTAGACAACTCCCCTTTAAATAGCTCTATAACACAATAATATAAATAGAACATTTTCAAACAATTTAAATATAATTTAAGAAACCTTTCTAACAATTAAAAATAATTTAGGAAACATTCTTAAACAAATAAATATGATTTAAAAATTTTTCCTAAACAAATTAAGCATAATTTAGGAAACATTCCTAAACAAATTCAACATAATTTAGGAAACCTTCCTAAATAATTAAACATAATTTAGGAAACATTCCTAAATAAATTCAACATAACTTAGAAAACCTTCCTAACAACTCCCTTTGATTAAGAACCTTCTAAATAGCTTCCCCTTGGCCTTCCTAGCATATCAGGCTACTTGTTAAGGGATTTGCTACTGGTTTGATACCATATCATATTTTGGATGATGACACTACCTTTTCATTGATTCAAATCAATATATTATATGATATAGGATTTGAATTAGGTGGATTATGATAATCTTAGCACAAACCAAGTTAAGCCTAACTAAATGCATATAAAATAATTAAAGAGACTATAAACACAAAAGGAAACTAACTAAATAGTTATAACGATTGTATCATTCCCTCACGCTTTGGGAACAGAAAGTAGCGGCAGGCATGCATTATGACCTAACAACTTATTCTATAATGTCCGGAATGAAAACTTTTGTTGCCATAGAGATTGTGTACATAATTCTGTATTACTTTTTTTAGCTTCTATTCAAGGATTAATGTTTTGAGCATTAATGATCATCATAATTATTATTAAGAGCCTTATCGTGCTATTTGGTTCTGCCTAAATGAATCAATTTGCCCAGTTATTCCAGTTGAGTGCTACTTGTTATATTAACTTCTTTGTGGAAATCCTCATTCGCAACTTTTGTTCAATTACCTTTGATCCTGATTTTTCTTTCTTAAACCTTTGACATTGATTCTAGCTGCCTGCATTTTTTGGATGTTTCTTTTGCTCTCTGCTATGCTAGTCCAGACCATGCAGACTATTTCCTAATAGGCTACTCATATAACATCTATAATGTTTCGAGTCATCATTTTGCTAATTTCATAGTGCTGAATCTTCAAATCTATCTATATTTGGCACTTGGCGCCTGTATTTTGTGAGGAAGTTTAGGATATTTATCTTTGAAAGATTTTGAGAGGTCTCTTAGTTGAATTTTAATAACTAAGATATTTTTTTTTTATATTCTTTTATTAAGGGCATTACTATTGCTTCCATGCCAAGAATTAATCAGTTCATTGCTTCTCTTTTGGCTGGATATTGCTCATGTTTGAGGCCTCAAGTTACTAAAAATGCACATACATAAGCTGGGCTTTATATTATGAATAGCAATGGTGGCCACACGAGTGGGTATTATATTCGAGTTTTGATGAAAACGATCAAAATTTTGAAAGACTATGCTGTTGTTTATTGCTGACCACACTAGTGGACACTCTTCTGTTGATTGCTTAGCGTGAGGCTGTACTTATTGCATGGACATAATGGGAAGAGCTTTTAATTATTTCTATGATGGTCGTTGTAATGTACATCTCATTAGAAATATCTCATTCCAAAAATATTTTGTTATCATAGGAAAGAGCTGGGTCTGCTGTTGTGGAGGCTATGCTGTCCAAATCAGCCCCAGTTTTTTATGGAGACCTTAGAAGCCATGAGAGGGTAATCATTGCTGTTCTTGTTGAGAAAATGACTAAAATTGTCCCTTGTCCCTTGACTCTTTAGGAAGGATCAAAATAGTCCACAACTATATTAAATGACCATTTTGAATCCTCAAGTCTTCAACAAATGATTAAATTAGTCCCATTGTTTAAGGAGTTGATGGATCAAAATTGTCCTTTAATATAGTCGAGAATTATTTTGACCTTTCCCTCTTTCATAAAGAGTCAATGGACCATTTTGACTCTTTTCTTTGTTATTGTTTGTTTTTCAATGCCATGTTGGTCATTACATAACAACCTATTATCTCTCATACATAATCTTGAATTAAGCACATTGTTTATTTTTTTAATGTAGGTTCCTGTTCCTTTTTCCACCTTCATCACATCTTGCAAATCTTACCAGAAAGAAGCGAGTACTTCTAATAAAAAAGATATGGATATGGAGCTGGCTTATTCTAAAGAAGAACAAACATCTTTATTGGATATCCCTGATTTTATTTATTTAGCACAAGTAACAAATTAAAGACCTTTTTTGAGAACTTGTGTTACTTTCTTTTTTATTTAATTATTTTTATCATCGGCTTCCTCATTTGCCTCTTTATTATTTAATCCAGAATTCATGGATGAATGATGGAGACATCACATGATGGATGCAACTAAATGGATCAAATTGAATTTGGACATGCTTGCTGACCAAATTATTTCTGGCAGGTCCCCATTTTGAGTGCCAAAATTGAAGAGACCTGTCCATTGGAAATTTTGAGAGGTGATTTAGAAATGGTCGGTGATTTACCTTTACCACTTCCTTTGCATGCTTTGATTTCATTCATATATCTATGCATCTATTTTTACTTGTTTATTATTTGAAAATTCTATTCACAAATGAAAATTAAATACATTCAAACATTTTTAACCCATGCTGTTTTATCCAATCATTTTAATATTGCAGCCAAATTTTCTGGGAAACAATACCATAGAATCGATCAATTTATGGATGAATAGGGCTTCTTCTAGATCTAGTACGCACTATGATCCACACCATAATCTGCTTTGCATTGTTGCTGGTTGTAAACGAGGTATGGTATTTTACTTGAGGCCTTTCTCTTTTACAATCATTCTGTGGTATTGATTTCATTTTATACGGTGAATTTTATGCTTTTTTTTCACGCCAGCAGCTAAATTATTACATTTCCTTAACATAACATTTTGAATGACCTTGAGTTATGTCGGATTGGTGAATCTGAAGCTCAAGTAGACTATTGTAGGTGATAGGTTAGAAGATTTAGAAGGTTTGAGTTCCTTGTTGTCACATTTGGAGATTCGTTTTACAAACCTCCTGCAAATTAGGTTTCATTTGATTGCATACACAGGACTGTTACTGTTGAACTTACACTTAATCTACTATCATAAAAAACCCCCCAGTAGGTTTGAATAGTGATAGACCAGTCCAAATAGGACCGGTTCATTATTATTAGAGGCGGAACAGGCATGTTCCATCCCCTATGCCTGCTGCCTCATCCAAGTGGGGTCCACTAGCTTAATTAAGAGAAACTTAAGGGAGTTTTAGGAGGAAAAATTCAAAAAGAAGGGTCTGTTTTGGGATTTACATAAGGATTGTATGTTCAAGTAGGTTTTGGTGGCTAGGATGAGATTTGTATCCTGTTTTTTGCTGTAATTTGCTGTTCCTGGTTCTTATGAGGGCTCCAGAAGTGTCTAGAGAGTGGGGAGAGCCGGATCTTCCTCTCTAATTGAAGATACAACTGTATCTTGCTTGAGTTTGTTCTTCTTTCATCAAATATAGTTGTTGTGCTTGTGATTTCTCTATCTTTTCCTCCAAATCGGCTTACAGGAGGGCTGTTTTTTTCCTGAATTTAGCAGGGAATTTCTTGGTATTTCCTAACAAATTGGTATCAGAGCACTTCGATCTAGGGTATCAATGGCCGGAAAGAAGGTGGAAGTGTTGGAGGGTGAAATAGGTCAACTGAAATTAGATTTTGAAAATCAGTTTGCATCCATCCTTGAAAAGATGAATGGAAAATTCGCCATCGTGGATTAAATGTTGTGGAAGTTGCTTGAAGCCAAACCCAATACAACGACATCAGAAATGAAGGAAGCCACCGGTAGCCAAGGAAGAGGAGGAAACCCCAATCCATTTAGGTGAGGGAAAAATCAAGAGGTGGAGATTTTAGAGGGAGAAGATGTGATACCTCCACTAGAGACTATTTATAGGGAGGAGATGAGTATTGGGTATGAGCGCAACAGGGGTGCTAATTTTGAAAGGAGGGGGGATTTCAAAGAAGGATTTGGGTACGAGCGCAGAAGGGAGGATCGAGACACCTGGGAGCACCTCCCCTTCAGGGAATGGGAGGCTATAGAGTATTCAGAGGAAATAGAGGTGATACGAGAGTGAGGAAGCTGAAGATGTCCACCTTTGAGGGAGATGATACACATGAGTGGATATACTAGATGGAGAGGTATTTCTCCATTGACGGTTTGACGAAGGAGAGGCTGATGGCAGTGGTCCTATGCTTGGAGGGGAAGACCTTGGCTTGTTACCAGTGGATGGACATGCGACAACCCATACGATGCTATAGGGAGTTCAAGGAATGCTTATTGGAACGTTTTCGAACCAGCAGGAGAGGAGATTTTTACGAGCAATTTTTTGTCTTGACACAGGATGTTTCGGTGGCAGATTACTGGGAGAGGTTCAAGTACCTTGCTAATTGATTAGATCGCCTTTCTGAGACAATTTTAGAGGAGAACTTCATGAGGGGGCTGAAGCTAGAGATCCGGGTGGCGATTAGGGTGATGAGGCTTCATGACTTGGAAGAGGCAATAGAGTTGGCACAGTTAGTGGAGCAACATAATTATCTGGAAAGGGGGCCCATAGGCAGTAGCTCAGGAGGTTCATACAGGATGACCATCACATTCTTAGCTCCCAAGGATCAACACTAGGAAGCCTTCATGATACTCTAAAGGAGAAGCCTACAGAAGGGGGATTTGTGGGAAATTTCATGAAGCTTATTGAGAAGGAACTACAGGAGAAACGGGTGAAGGGACTGTGTTTCAGATGTGATGTGAGTACACACTTGGCATAGATGTAACGATGGAACTCTTCAGGTTCTCGCCATCTGTGATGATGTGGAAGCCGAGGAGGGAGGTGAGAGAGAGGCAGTGATAGAAGAGGAGGAAGAGCTACACCTTAACATGGCAGAAGTCACCTTAAACTTAGTGGTGGGGTTCACTCTGAATCATACCATTAAGGTCAAATAAGAAATAACAGATAGAGAGGTGGTGGTGCTGATCGATGGTGGGACTACCCATAATTTTATCTCCAACCAGGTTGTTGATCAATTGTGAGTGAAATTGTTGGACATCGGGGGTTACGGGGTGATGATGGGCATTGGGAAGGTGGAGATGAGTAGAGGAGTTGTGCTGATGATACGTGAGGTTCATGTGTGGGAGGATTTTCTGCCATTTGAGTTAGGGAGCATTGATGTCATCCTGGGGATGAAGTGGATGCAGATTTTGGGAGATACCAATTTTAATTGGGGATCATTGGCGATGGAGCTGGTGGTGGAAGGAAGAAGAATGGTGATCAAGAGAGATGTGAGGTTGTCTCCAAAGCCATGACATCTCTCAAATCCATGTTAAGGACCATACATGAGGTGGGAGGAGGCTTTCTGGTGGAATTGTAGAGCTTAGAAGGGTGAAAACTAGAGGAAGTGGGGGACATTCCTCTTCCAGTACAACTCTCATACATCGTTTCGGTGAGGTTTTTTAGTCACCTCAAGGCTTAGCTCCACCAAGGGAGTAGGAGCATGCCATCGTCTCGAGGGAGGGGGTGTCACCGATTAGTGTGAGGCTTTATTGCTACTATCAAATTCGGAAGGATGAGATCGAGAAGCTGATTCGAGAGATGTTGGAGGCGAGGATCATCAGACCAAGTGTGAGCCATTTTTCTAGTCCAGTCCTATTAGTCAAGAAGAATAACGGGAGTTGAAGATTATGTGTGGACTACAGGGCCTTGAATAAGGAGATTATACTGGACAAGTTTCCCATTTTAGTGATTGTTGAGCTACTGGATGAGCTATGTGGTGTAGTGGTGTTCACCAATATGGATATGAAGTCGGGATACCATCAGATCAGGATGAGGGAGGAGGATATTTTGAAGACTGCTTTCAGAACACATGAGCGACATTACGAGTTCTTAGTGATGCCATTCGGACTCACAAACGCCCTCACCACGTTCCAGTTGCTCATGTACAGTGTCTTCAGACCATATCTCAAGAAGTTCATGGTGGTCTTCTTTGATGACATATCAATGTATAGTTGTCGATAGGAGAGCACTTGGAGCATGTAAGGGTGGTCTTGGAAGTATTAAGGGAGCATCAGCTGAGGGCCAAACTGAAGAAATATTGCTTTGCACAGACCAATATGGAATACTTGGGGCATGTGATCTCTCAGGAGGGGGTGGCTGCTGATCATGCCAAGATTGTGGCAATGCAAAAATGACTCCTACCTAGGTATTTGAGAGAGCTAAGAGGGTTCCTAGGATTGACAGGGTACTACTTGAGATTCGTGAGTTACTACATCACCATAGCTTGGCCATTAATGAGCAACTGAAGAATGATAATTTCATATGGGGAGAGACAGATACAAAGGCTTTTGAGAGATTGAAAAAGACCATGACTAAAATGCCCGTTTAAACTCTACCAGGTTTCAGTTAGATCTTTGTGGTGGAGACAGATGCATTTGGATATGGGTTGGGGGCCGTGCTCATGCAGAATCACATACCCATAGCTTACTTCAGCTAAGTTTTGGCAGCCAGAGCTAGGTTGAAGTTAGTCTATGAGAGAGAATTGATGGCTATTGTGTTAACCATTTAGAAGTGGCTACCATACTTGGTGGGATGACATTTCATTGTTAAGATAGATTAGAGGAGTTTGAAGTTCCTTTTGGAGCAAAGGATGGTGATGGAGGAGCATCAGAGATATCAAAGATGGTCATCAAGCTATTAGGCTATGATTTTGAGATTCAATATAAGCTCGAATTGGAGAACAAAGTGGCAGTTTCATTGTCCAGATGCATGGGGGAACTCCAGGAGTTGGCAATGTCGATACCATTGATATTGGATTGGGGAGTTATCAAAGAGGAGAGTATGCAGGATGAGAAGTTGTGAAACATCATAGCAGATCTTCTGAAGGATGACCAACCATCCGTGTTACTCTTTGGAGGGGTAGATACTGCTATACAAGGGGAGGTTTGTGATGCTCAGGACCTCAGTTCATATCCTTCTACTATTGCAAGAGTTCCACGGGAGCGTTGTTGGAGGTCACTTTGGTGTACAAAAGACTGGCAGCGAAGCTGTATTGGAGGGGGATGCACAAGGATGTGGAAGAAATGGTGGCTAAATGTGAGGTGTGCCAGAGGAACAAGTACATGGCCATGGCTCATGGGGGATTACCTTAACTCCTTGCTCTACCTGGCAGGGTGTGGGAGGAGGTTACCATGGACTTCATTGATGGGCTACCACGATCGAAAGGGTATACGGTGATTTTGGTGGTAGTTGATAGATTGAGCAAGTATGTTCATTTCATTCCCCTGCAACTTCCTTACACGATAGTGACAGTAGCTGTCGCTTTTATTAGGGAGGTGGTCAGGCTACATGGGATACCAAAGTTTATAGTGTCTGACAGAGATAAGGTGTTTCTCAGTCATTTCTGGAGGGAGCTGTTTTTGGCTAGAGGGGACAATATTGAAGAGGAGCATCGCTTACCACCCTTAGGCAGATGGGCAGACAGAGGTAGTGAACAGGAGCTTGGAGACATACCTGCGATGTTTTGCTTTAGAAACACCTAGGGTATTGGCTAAGTGGCTGGCATGGGAAGAATACTAGTACAACACTTCATACCATTCGACCTCCCAGATGACCCCTTTTAATGTGCTATACAGGAGAGACTCACCCTATTTGGTACATTTTGGGCAAAGTCGCACACTAGTATCTTTAGTAGAGCAGCACTTAGAGTAAATGGATAGGGTACTAGAGGAGTTAAAAAGACACCTACTGAGGGCT